GGGCGGCAGAATTGATTTCTATTATAAATTCTGTCTGAGATAAGCCAGACGTTGAAAACCCGAGCTCTTAGTAAAATTGGATGAGGTGTTTTAGAAATATATCAATGAATCGTTCCAAAACATTAAGTTACATTGTCTCCTCGACTTATTTACAATTATTCTTTACTATCTTTTTTGTCTCAATTTCGTTGAATAAACACATGTATATACTTTCTTTTTCATTGATCATGTTGATATGTAACTTATATTCACCTGTAGATGTATCACTTTGTATTAAGGCTCATTACTATAAATGTATAAATGTATTTTAGTAGAGCTTGGTTCAAATTCAGCATCAAAAAATCCAACTTATACAGAGAGTTGACATTCTTATGTTGAAATTCAACATCTCAGTCAACCAAGGCGACTCCGATCATTCCTTCGTACACAAAATTCCTGAATTTTACAAAAATCTTTACAAACAAAGATGCATTGTCTAAACGAGCAAATGCATAACCAAGCCTCTATCCAAAGTCCATGTCGTACTCATGGCGCAATCGTTAGAGCGTTAACTTTGCGCTTTGTGTCCCTAAGTGAGAAATAACCTTTACATCGCGAGTTAGCATCCCAATGTGAGGTGTAGTCTGGTCCTGATTTTTAAAAAGAAGGCTAGAAATAACTTCTAACGGCAAATAATTATTATTTGGTCCTGTATAGTTTTTTAACCTATTACGAGTATGCAGAATCCGAAAAAATGTGCTGGCCTTCATGAAAATAACGCTAAAGAGGTCAAAATGGCGATTCAAAATGGCGGACATAAAATTTTTCTAATTTTCTCTTAATGTCGTTCAAAATAGAGAAGTAATGAGCGAATATCTAACTGAGTGAAATAAAACTATAACAAATATAATAGAATGCTAACATTATTAGTTTAACTCAGAAAATTTGGTCGTTTCTACACTTAATTCGAATTTTCTCTGATTTAGTTGTCTATTGTTTCTATATTCTTCTTTGTTCGGGATTTTACATTTGCAAATATCCATACACTGCTGATTTGTATTTTTTCCTCTACATCTCACTATTCTACAATTGAATGATGGTGCAGCTGTCAGTGAAAAGTCAAAATGGTGTTTCAAAATGGTGAATTTTCATTTTTAAAAATCGTTTCTTAACGTCATTTACGTAGGAGAAGGATTTGTGAATATATTACTGAGCGTAGTACAACAATGTAAAATGACAATGGAACATTTATGTTATCATTTTAAATTGGAAAATTAAGTCGTTTAAATTTGAATTGTGTTAATTAGCTCAAACTGGCAATTCAAGTGAGTACGTCACATACACTCGAATTTCGTAAAATACCAAAACTGCTTTAAATTAAAGTTTTTTTTTTTAATTTATGAAATAGTGTTCAAATATGAAATGAAAGTTGGGGAATATTTTTGTAAATGACTTATTTTTATAACATGGATTTTTGTTTTATACTTCTATCAATAAGATATATAATTCTTGACAATAATTCCGAAGACATTTTACCTATTATTTGTCTCAACATGCTTCTTCATATAAAAGTTAATAATATTATACAATAATTGCTGTTTTGAGGACAATATGAAAATTAAGCTACCCCAAGTGCAGTATTCCCTGCGCATTAAGGCGAGTGAATATTGTAGTTCGAGGGTTGCTAAATCATATAGTTGTTGGAAATTCTTGATCTATTTTTAGTCCAGGTTAGAAAAATATTAATGTTTAAGTTCATGTGGAAGGTCTGGTGCAACTTAATATGATTTTTAAAATGATAGACCACGGCCAATTAGAGGGCTAGTAATTGTTACAGCCAATGAATCTGAATATATCAAAATATCAAAATATAAACATATTTATTAAGAATTATTAGTAAAATATAGTTACGTAAACCATAAACTTCCTGATTGTCCAGATCTGATTCTGTGTCCCTACATTTGCATTTTGTTATTCTCAGTAAAAAATTCAACTGCATTCTCAAATATTTCATGTTGTGAACGGATAATTTTTTATTGACCAGTGTATATAATTTTTTTGAAACTTACAAAATCTGAAAGAAGAAAATGTTTCTGTTCAATCCCCCTCGATTCTTGATACAACCTTCCACTATCCTAACAAAGAAGCTAAAAAAAAAGCTCAACAAAAAAATCAACGTTGCCTTGTACATGTAAAGTTCTTGGAGTGTTCAGGAAAATGTTGTTGGTACGAAAGCTTGTACGTGATAGGAACCATGAGGAATCTACAGGCGCTTTAAAATTGCATAAGTATAATACAACTTTTCTCACCAAAATATGCTCAAAATGTGATTCCAAATGATACAGTTTGAGAATTTGCTTGCTAATAGAATGACCTTTCTATCCTAAAAGAGAGCAAATCTACATGCAGTCACAAAATAAAGAGCTACATGTCTTGAATATCAAAGATTTTTTTTTATACCCCCGATTGAAAAATGGGAGGGTATAGAGTAATCGGTATGTCCGTCCGTCTGTTCGTCTGTTACGCTTTGGGGTACCCATCTCTTATCCGCAAATCCTCTCATTCCACTGAATGAAATTTGATGAAACTTTCACAGAATCTTTATTAAATATTGCCATTTTGCACCTCCTATTTTAACTTTTGATCCGAAACATATTATGGGTTTTCCATAGGAAAACCTTGACACTGTTATTTTATTCATATGGGAGGCAGGGGTATCATTTATAGTAAGCTTATTGCTAACAGTTCTTCTAGTTCATTTTGCATAAGGTTTTGGAAAACAAAATATGCTGTTAACATTTGAACATAAATGTATTGTTCCTTGAGTGATTGATTGATTTTATTTTGTTTAACTCCGAGTCGGCAATTTTTCAGCCTTATTTTGTTATTAAACTATCAGTTTAAATAATCGGCTTTTGAAGGACTTTGGTTTCTCTGGCGACCCCTAGTGAGCTTATTCTTTTTCGAACTCCATAAAAATGAGCTTTTACGTTCCAGGGGGGGGGGGGGGGAGGTGTCATCCTTGACGCAGGGCACCATTTTACTTGAGTGTTGAAAATACCAAAATTCCGAAGACAAATTGAAATTAAACATAGAGCAAATAAATCTGGAATAGAAGATGTTAGGGGATAATACTAGGTTCTTTTAAGTGCTAATTTCAAAAGCTAGTACAAAGTGTTTGATGAAATCGGACAAGAATTTCTTCAGTTATATTTAATGGTGTACTGAGGGATGTTAAAGTAGAAGTGCAAGTTGATAATGACAACGATTGATCTTAGGTGGACGGAGGCTCAAAGGTTTTGGAACACGGTCAAAAATATGTACGAGAGGAAAAAATTGAAAACTCTTTAGTCGAGTTTGTTTTAACCATTTCCAGAAAAAAAATGAATCTTTTCTGGTATTTCTTGTTTGTTCATAATTAATGGATTAACCAATATACTACCCGGTACTTATACTATATATATTTTTAAAAATATTTTTTTTCTAAAAAACGACTCAGAGTTGAGCAGTTTGGGTATTTTTCGAAATTTGAGTGAATATGACGTCATTTTGACACGCCATTTTGAGCTAATTAACACATTTTAAATTTAAACGACTAAATTTTCCGAATAAAAGTGATAATATTAGTGTTCTATTGGAATTTTACATAGTTGTACTACGTTCAGTAAGATATTCAAAAATCCTTTCTTCTATGTAAACGACATATAGAAATAATTTGAAAAAATAATGAATATCCTCCATTTTGAATCGCCATTTTGACTTTTAACCTACAGCTGCACCATCATTCAATTGTAGAATAGTGAAATGCAGAGGAAAAAATACAAATCTACAGTGTATGGATATTTGCATAAGTAAAATTCTGATCAAAGCAGAATATAAAACAAAAGTCAAATAAATCAGAAAAAATCGAATTAAGTGTAGAAACGGCTTAATTTTCTGAGTTAAACTAATAATGTTAGTATTCTATTATCATTTTTATACTTTTACACTCAGTGAGATATTCACTCATTATTTCTCCTTTTTGAACGATATTAAGAGAAAATTTGAAAAATTGGATGTCCGCCATTTTGAATCGCCATTTTGACCTCTTTAACCCCATTTTTATGAGGGCCAGCATATTTTTTCGGATTCAGCATACTCGAAATAGGTGAAAAAACTATGCTGGACAAATAATAATTATTTGTCGTTAGAAGTATTTTTTTCTATAAATCGAACCTGGCTAGTGTGGGGAACGGTCCTTCGGATGAAAGCGTATAAATCGAGGTTACTTGTCGCAGTAGGTGTTGCTACGAAAACAGATCCATCACTGATCAATAGTCGTAAGTGTCGAATATATTACCACAATTTGCAGCTCTATCGCAAGTGATGGCGTCTCCATATGAGTGAAAAATTCTCGAGAGGGACGTTTAACAATATGAAACAAACAAACAATCCTATACTTTTCACAAAAAATATCAAATGATGTGGAGAACCTCGCAAGTTCTTTGCTGCAGTGTTTATCAAGATTTATGATAAACGTGATGACTTTATCTTTTCTATCATCAACTTCCCTTACTTATGCAGTAATATATTTTCATCACCTGCATACGGAGTTTATGTATCTCAGTTGATTCGATACGCCAGAGCATGCTGTACAAAAAAAATTTCGAAAACGAGGTAATTCTTTTACAAACAAGTTGATGAAACAAGAATGTCAGCAGTGTCGTTCAAAGTCGTTATTTCGTAAGTTCTATGGACTTGTCTGATGTTTTTAGAGGCCCGTGTTTGTTCTACTCTCGATTTGTATTTGTTCCGTGGATTTTTGAGCATGAATACTGTTTGTTTTCTCTATATTTCATTAGACAATTATTTTTTTTTTGTTGTATTTCATCCTTATTGTCTTTCTCTTTCTAATTTTCCTAAACTTACTGATTATGTTACTTATTAGAAAAGTCACCTTATGGTACCAGTGTCCTTTTATTACTATTTTCTTCGCAGTGGAAATGGAAGTAACGAAATAAATGAAATATTAATGTTTGCTCAGTATAGTTTATGCACTCTAAAATTGCAAATATTAAAAAACAAAAGTGAAAAAAAAATTACTGTATATACAACAATTATGTGGGAATTCGTTAAGTTATGTGATTATACAGTATTCCATATTATGACAATCAACTTAGATGACATTCAACTCCGATAAAAAAGATTTTGAAAAGTAAGTTCCATAATTTTTTCTCCATTATTTCACCGTATTTCATCCAATCACATTTCCGTAATTGATGTGAGTTGTTCGCTGTGGTCTGGTCGTAGTTGTCTTAATGATGTCAGTTATTCGCTGTGGTCTGGTCGTAGTTGTCTTATTGATGTCAGTTGTTCGCTGTGGTCTTCTTGTAGTTGTCTTCAGTACATTCAAAGTTTGTTGGAATGATTCTACAAGGAGAAATTTACCAACTATTTTGCATCAACCACTATTTACTCATAACTTATTAAAGAAGGTTACTTATTAATGCTTCTATTTGATAACTTTTTAGAATAGTTCAAATCTTGTGGGACTCAAAATGTTTTGTTTTTTAAAAATTTTTTCATACATCTTTAATATATTTCCCTTTTTAAAACTAATTTGTTGAGGTTTAGTAGAAGCACTATGTTGCAGAGAATATAATGTGGACGCTTCAGTACATCGTAGAGATTAATAAGCAATAATAAATATAATATTTTATGTAAATCACGCATCACCAAAGTAAACCAGATTAACAATGGTCCGGATTCATTTCAAATTAATTAGTTAACAACATCGAATTAAAATTGTTACAAGTCATGTAAATTGTAAATAAATCGGATAAATTTGCATACATGTAGTTGTAGTGCTAAACAAATAAAAGAAAATTCATTTGTTTAGATTTCTAATAATTTTTTTATTCTTAGGAAGATATGTGATGTACATTGTTGTTATTAGAGGCAACTTCTCCTTTTCCCTCTTCTTAACAAAACCTTCAAGTGTATCAATAATATATCTTTATTTTTAAAAATCATCATAATTTGATGTGTTTTCTTCATAATATCAAATATCAGAGATGGACATCAATTTCCCGTGACCAAAAAAGCTAAAGGTTAAATTGGGGAACATATGTTTTAATTAGCTTTCTAAGCTTTTTGGGATGATTATTAATCTTGAATAGGTTTGATTTAAGAAAAAAACAACACAAAACCTGGACAGTATGAGAGAGCCGCTGAAATGTTGGTAATTGGATCCTTCTAACAAATTATACCCTCTGTTTTGTTGTTTAAATATATTTTTTCTAGGTTTGAAATTTGAAAATTTATTTTTTTTATATAGGTGGCGCGTCATTCTCATTAATAACTTCAAAGAAATGACAACAATTACAAGGATCCAACAACAAGCAAATGAATCAAATGTCATACCTGGTTAGATTGTTTCATTTTATAGATTTTATTTCAACTTACGGGATTCTTCGTACACAACAGCATAACATCTCATCTCCGAAAGTCTACAAGAAAAGAAGAAGCTACTTAGTCATGAGAATCATGTATTAATTCTGAAATGGCCTTATCAGCCATATCTCCGGAAGTGGAATTTTGGACTTGTGTTATATGAGTTTTATAAAGTGGAGAAAATTATAAGCGTATTTATATACTAATTGAAAATGCCAAGATTAATTATTATAAAACAGCTATAGAACTAAATAAAAATTCAAAACAAATGTGGGATGTATTAAACAGTTTAGCTTCTAAATCTCGTAATTATATTCCAGCTGCACTTGCTAAAAATAATTATATCACAGAGGATACACAACAAATAGTAGAATTGTTTAATTCTCATTTTTCAAATATTTCTGTAGAACTTCTTGCAGGCATAAATAAGGAGGAAAATGACTTTACAAATCTTTTAGATTTTGTTAAGTCTAAACTGGGCGCAGACGAGTTTTCTATCCGACTCATAAATCATGACGAAGTACTAACTTTACTCAATAAACTAGATACAAGTAAATCTTCAGGTGTTGATACCATCGGGCCACGTCTATTGAAACTTACTTCACAAATAATACATAAACCTGTGACCCACATTATAAATACCAGTATCTTAACTGGTAATTTCCCCGACAGTTTTAAACTTGGAAAAGTTACCCCAGTCTTTAAAAAAGGAAACAGATTAGATCCAAATAATTATAGGCCTATTTCTATTTTACCAACATTATCAAAAATTATTGAAAAACATGTTGCAAAATATATACGATCTCTTTTTTCGGATTTTGATCTCATAGTAGATTCTCAATCAGGCTTCAGAGAACTACATTCTTGCCAAACAGCCCTTACTAAAATTACTGATGAATGGTTAAATGAAATGGACCAAGGTAAACTTGTTGGTACTGTTTTTCTTGATTTCAGTAAAGCTTTTGACCTTGTCAATCATGATATTCTACTTAAAAAACTACAATGTTAAAAGTTTGATGCAACAACTTTACAATGGTTCAGGTCATACTTAAGTGAAAGACTTCAAAGTGTCCATCTGTCCAACAAACATTCATCTTATCAGCAAGTCACAGCGGGAGTTCCACAGGGATCTATACTAGGCCCCCTTCTGTTTTTTTTTACACTAATGATCTTCCTTTATGTATTACAAAATCCAAATTAGAATTATTTGCAAATGATGCCACTTTACATACATCAAGTAAAGATTCTCAAACTATTGTAGATACATTATCAACGGATATAGCTTCAATAGAAAAATGGTGTTCTCAAAATCAAATGGTTCTAAATGCTACAAAAACCAAATGCATGTTAGTCGGTACGCATCAAAAGAGATCAAATTTTCCTGAGCATGAAATTAATCTATTTGTATCAAACAAAAAACTTGATATAGTATCAAATGAAAAAAATTCTTGGAGTTTATTTAGATAATTCTTTACAATACAATGTACATATTGACCATGTTTGTAAAACACTGTCACGTAACATTTCAGCCCTCCGTAGAATTAAAAAGTATGATTATTGTTTAACTATTTGGGGTAATACATCGCACTCAAATCTTGACAGAGTATATAAGGTTCAAAAACGAGCTGCAAGATGTATTTTAGATGCTCCTCCTGATGCGCCCTCACAACCTCTCTTTGAGAAACTAGATTGGCTCACAGTGTATGAGCAACTTATTGTAAATAAATATGTTTTGTTATATAAATCATTGTTTAATTCTCACCCTACTTATTCAAATAGTATGTTTAACTTCCAGTGTAATAATCAATACAATCTTCGATCAGAATCTAATTTAGACCTGTGTGTACCAGCTCGTAGCTGTAAATTTTTTTAGAACTCCTTCCAATACTCTGGTGCTATTTTATGGAATAATTTACCTGTACATATAAAAATGTCTCAAACACTGAATGCTTTCAAACATCAAATCAAAATATTTGTAAAACAATGTCGAAATAACTTATGATGATTTATTTGATTGTGTATATTTGTAGATGTATGTATATTGTTTTTTTGTCTACAGAAGGCCCCGGGGAAGAATAGTGCGTGCACTAATCGGGCTACCTTCTTTAAATAAAGTATTATTATTATTTTTAATATTATTATTATATGATCCTTTGCATAAATATTATTTTAAGGTACAAATTTGACTAGTTTTTTTTTTTTAGCTCAGATATCATAGCTTAGATCAACAATAACACACGCAGTTTGAATTCCATATGTTTAGAGAAAAGGTTCAAAAGAATGATCATATATAAATTTTAACCAAATGATCCTTTTATGGTACGTCAAGTCATATCTCCTGTGGTGACCTAAAGTTAGCCTAAAGGATACATGTAACGTAACTTATGCTGAATAATTTAGGAAGGCGAGGTTTATTTTTACCTCTAGTGGCAAAGTAAATGGACATTAGATAGCTTTCTTTAGTGAATGTCTAGCTCTTATATATTTAAAACTCCAAAGTCCGATAGTCTCGCTAAACCCCGATGGTATGTTGTCAATAAAGACACCAAAGTCCGATGGTCACACCAAAGCTCGTCACACCAAAGCTGCGCTAAAGTGTGATGGTCTAACATGCCAAAGTCCTATGGGGCTGAGAAACAATCGAACGTTTATGATATCACAATAATCCGACGTCAATCCTTGACGCCGTTGTTCTGCATTCAAAGACATCATTTCTGAATTCATCCTCGCAAACATTTTTATTGATATATATTGCCTATTGCTTACACCTTTCAGAGGTATTAGGATTAGTCCTCACAAGCCACTCGACTGTTTACAGTTAGTCTATGCTTCGTACCAACCTGAAAGATTTAGGGTAAGTTTTAGCACATTATTTATCGTTGAGCGATTAGAGTTAGTTTCGCACCCATCCAATTTATCTAGGTTATAGTTTTTATACATTTTTTGAGCGATTAAGGTTAGTTTTCGCATAGTTATATATTTTAATAATTATTTAGGACCTTGGCAATGCGTGGCATTGTAGTTTGGTGCAGTAGTAGTGCTATGACTTCATAAACGGTAATTGTTTTCCGCACCATCGGACTTTGGCGTGTCGAACCATCGGGGTTTTGCGCAGACCAGCTGATCTGGCTCGAGTATCAGACTTTGGAATCTCATCGCACTTTGAGTCTTACACATATATTTATAAACCCTTTATACCTGGATTCGTCATGTGTTGCCTGGATACATAGATCTTTTCTTTGTCCACTGAGAGTGGTAGAGGGTTTGATAAGAATATCCATGGAACATCCACTTCTGTCAGAATTGTTGAAAATATGCACCATGATTCCAGTGATAGGCAGGACAGAGACGCTTGGGCTGTGAATAGAAATTTAGATTTTAACAGATGCAGAAAGCTTGTCTGATTTCTTTAGATTTGAACAAGTAAAAAATAATAAAGACAAAAAAATAAAACTTTAATTGAAAACACATGCTATGATCATAAATTTTTATTTATTTCATATGCTTCACCATTTCAGTATTCTCCAAAATTAAATAAACGGCAATCTCCAAGAATTGTTAATTTGGGGCATTGACGATCTGTCCCCCTCCTATTATTATACTTTCAGGGATTATATACATGTATCAAATGGGAAAGCAAGCTTACCACTGACTATTGTTGCTTTGTTTCAGATAAAGTAGCATGTGGCACTCCAAACCCGGTGAACAAGAGAAAGTAGAGGAATTTGTTGGAGAAGGTCCGACAAAGAGTCCCTGGAAAACGACTTGGGCATAACATGTGCAATACTTAATGATGATTAAATCTTGAGAATCAGAAGTTCAAAGCAGACTGTAACTCTATTTGTTGTAGTTATACGAAAGAAAGGTGGCAATCGGACATTAAACTTTAAACACAGAATAATGATCATTGGTTGTCTCAGTGTTGCAAGTTCTTTGCAACAATGCTAATAAAGCTCCAATTTATAAAAATTACTATTCATAGTCATTATGGCAGAACCATTCATCAAAATGAAAAATAAACGAATAAAAGTACCGTAGTATAGGCTTAAAATTATATTATTTCAGTGGGCATTTGAGACTGATCACTGTTTGTTATCTTATTTCATTAAAGAAATCACGTTAAGGATTTCCATCCCCAGTAGGACCAAAATTTCTACTCTTAAAAGTACCAAATATTCTGATATTAAACCAAAGCATTTTATTGTAGAAAAGGATTGCCCGCGAGAAAATTAAAAATAATTTACTAACTATTATAGAATTTTATAAAAACACCATTTAAGTGACTATTGCAGAAATGGTCATCAATAAAGGAATACAGAAAAATGCATTTAAGAAAATGATGAATTATTATATATTTTTACTTAACACAAAATAAAACTGTAGGACAAAAAGTGTTTAAAAGAATTTAGCACGTAACACAATAAAACAAAAAAAAATCAAATAAATATATATCTTAATAAAGCACGCTTGTTAAGTACATGGAAAAGGAGATCTTATTCTAATTAGACTGAAGGTATAGGGGTTTAGTGTAGCATATTGAAGAATTTAACAGACATTGCGTTATTTTAGGAGCAATGAATACACTAGTCATGGGAATTGAAACCAATGTTCAAAATTATTATATCTTGCGAAGGCTTTGTGTGAAAATGAATAATCTTTTTACTTTTGGATGAGTTGAATTTTAAGTGAATTTCACCACAAATCCTTTACTAACCATAAACACACCGTTAAAAAAAAATCAAATTCAAAAACTGATAAACAAAATTATGCATCTTAGTGAACTTGTGTTTAAAGTCCTAAAAACTGTAGGTGTTCAACTGTTCATGGAAAAAACTGATATACAGAATATTGTGTCCAAAGAAACTTAAACTTGACTATATCAAGTTATCTTAAAATTTGACCAAAACAATCGTATGACTTAATGATAAATTGTATTTGCTGACAAGGTCATTATATCGACCATAGAACGTACAAAATAATGACTTTAAACGAGATTGCTGATTTTTATGTTTCAGCAACTTTTTTGTCAACAATTTACCTCGTGTTAAAATTTCTTCATACGTGAAGTTTTCTCTTATCAAATCAACTAAGAGATATAAACCCCATATGCAGATGATGAGGGTATATTGCTTTATAAGTAAAGGAAGCTGACGATTGAAAAGTTAAAGTCATTACATCTATTATTAATTTTGTCTAATAGGTTACCATTAACGTACTTTTCAAGTAAAATATCCAAATTTGTAATAGATAATTGTCATTTTTCGGAACTATATTTCGACAAATCCCAGACAAGTATGAAAAATGTGCAAAGTACCTAGAAATATACTCAACTGTAAGAAGTCAGTCAATTTGAAAATTTCAAATAAATAGTGCATGTATCAAAGAAAGCTCGATTGGTTTTATTTCTAATAATCTGTGGTGAATCATACAAATGTAACATAATTCCATTTATTCATAAAGTCCTCTGTAAGAAGAATGTGGAGATAACGAATAGTATTCAATTTCACAGTCCATAAAATATCGACTTTGAAAACTTTTAAGATTAGTGATTTCAAATAAAACATATCTGTACCTTTACAAGAGCTATAGGCTTATATCTTGTACTGAAGTTCTGAAGTTCGATAATGATATTAAGTTATATTGCAAGAAGAATGTGTCCTTAATTTGTGAGGAAAAACATAAGCTTTTAAAATGCGTGGAGCTGTAGATACTGCTGGACATATGATAGACACAATAATGCCAAACTTTGTGGTTCATTAATTTTAATCAACACATCAGAAAACCTGTAGAGAGTTTCCAGGAGAACAAAATGAGAAGTAATCTTTATTTCGATGCTTATATAATAAAATACTGCATTCTCAAACATTTTTAAAAGTCATACCTGCTCCACATTATGGGGGCTCATTGACGGATTACCTAAAATAAAAGAGAAAAAAAACTTTTTTTGAAAAGAAAGAAAAAACAATAAAAGAAATAATATGAAATGCTACATTATAAAAAATTATTACCACAGAGTTTACAGGATTTACGGCAATATGTTGCAGTTGTTGGGTCTGAACAAACATTGATTAGAGCACGTTGGTCCCTGCAGTCATCCACAGAGACATCCGAACATGTACCACCATCAGAATCTACAACAAGGTCAAATTCTTAACCTTAAACATAGTTCTTATACAAAATTAGCAAAATTAAATGGTTTATGTGGAAGCCTTTGATATAAAATCAAACATACCCAAGGTTTCCGTTGAAATATTAAAGCAGACTTTGTCAGTTCCATTACTGTTAATAACAAGGTTTTTTCAAATGAAATGTAGTGATTTATTTAAAGAATAAACAATTTTAAAAACGATTGTAACTGTTTTCAGCAATAAAATCTTTAAAGATTCAAAGAAAGTTCATAGATATGCATATTGATATACAAGACGTTAAAGTCTGATTAAAAAAAACATGCATTTTAAGGAGGAGCAAAATACTTGGTTTCAATGAGTTTTTCTTGCCTGTATCTATCTGGAGAAACATTCACACATAGTTGATGTGAGCCAGTTTTCTTAGCGACAAATTTTACGGTAACGAGGTAGTCACCGGACACTGAGGTTTCCTTTGTTTCTGCAACTTCTATACTAGAAGGATCTGTCGTTGTAGTTACGAAATATCTACAAATTGAAAACATGAAATGAAATGTAATATTTAACCTTTAGTTTACAGACTGTTATTTTATGTCATTTTATGTCTGCGCATTTATCTGGTATCTTAATGCAAATTTGGTAAAAAGAGCAATATCAAAAGTGTGAAATACTTGAAGTAAAACGAGACAGATTGACATTGCTACTTAGGTTAAAAGGCAAGAGAGCTTACCCTGATGTTTATTTCAATAGAGCGTATAAGCTGGTAAAACGTTTTGTTAACTCACCCATTTCTTTCAGACACTAGAAGTTGTGCATGACAATCCTCATTCATAGGGCAACTCAGTCGCTTCGGCATTACCATGTTACCAAATAGAGGCTGCATTGTGAAAGAAAAAAATGTTTATAGGACGACTTCACGACAGCACACGCATATGCAAAAAGAGACAACCACATAGTTATTTAAAAAGCAGTTGGGTCAATATAATTTAAAAAGTTAAGAAAAACAAACATGCATGAAACTAGATCTTTCGTGCTAGAGAAAAGGAGAAAAAGTAATTTATTTCATGTCAATTTATTTTGAATAGTGATTTATCAAACCCCGATAGTGCTATCAAATATAAAGATATACGTACATATTTTAAACCATTTTGATTTCTTGCTTGAGGTATGCTAAACTCTAAGTAAAGAAAGAAAATACAAACATTCACCGAGCAACTAATGCAAAATGACAAATTTCTACTGTTACAAGTCTTAAGAATACGTTTATTACATTATTGGTGAGAGGGTAAAAATTTTCGTTTTTTATGGAATTTGTTTGTCATATAGCTTTGTTGTTAGATTACCATTGAAAGAGATATACAATGCCAGACTCTGTTGTATCTTTTATCTCCAGTTTACGGGAAAATTTCTTATCGACATCAGAATTGAAATAACCATTGTTAATTGACATAACGTTGTCGAAATATCCAAATGTCGAACTGAAGGCACTAGTAACTATTCTGCAAAGTCTTCTTCAGAATAGGTCTGCTAAGAACTGGGCGCAATTTGCATCCATGGGAATTCCAATAGATTGTTTGAAAACATGGACTACAGATTACATATACTGATTTCTTTTACATCACAACACATAGCAATGCCCAGTAAATGTTTTTCCAATTAACTTTTATTACTTTTTACTAAAATATTAAATGTGGTGAAAGAGAAAATCCATGAGAACCAAATGTGAGATGAAGAATACAAAAGAAAAAAATTGAAACCATATAATAAATATATAGCTACGAATTTTTAACACTGTATACAACCATTCCCTTCCCTACATCAAAGTCAAGATATTTTTATATCATTGACAGGACCTTTTTAAATAATGATTTTTAAATAATGATTGAGCTCGTAAACCTCACCTTGTCGTTGGTCATTTGCAATAATATTTTGTTAAAAACATTCTGATGGTTAACACAAGTACTTTAATGTTAATATGAAAAAGATTCTTGAGTTTCTGATAGCCAACATATGTTTTTTCGGACAAGGTCTTCCAACGATATGTTAGAATTCCCATGGATACCGTTGTTATCTTACCTTTCTTATTTTCATATTCATAAATTTATTCAAATTCGTAAACATAATAAAATAGATAAACAGTTCCTGTAGCGATTTAGATATGTCGATGGCTTGTTATCAGTTTCTGTATTTTTAATTTTTTTAAATTTCCAACCATACGTTTACACGATGTATTCCAGCGCGTTTGATAAAAGATATCACAGAGTCTGACATATTTGTTATATAAATGGATATTTTATTAGAAAGATACGTCATTGGTTATCAAACAATTAAAGATATTCATGGTAAAGGGGATGCCATGTTTGTGTAAGGATGAAAATAAGCACACTATATACTGCAGGTTATACGTAGTACAGCTATATTGTTTCTAAAATAGCCCGGTTCAATAGTGTTTTACAAGAAACAGCTAAGATAGCTTAAAATCAGCCGAAGTGTGTTGATGGTTTATTCGTTCTGTTAAATAACGTGTGTTAATCAACATCCTAACTTGTCGAAATTGTGTAAACAAAGAAAAAATATAGTATTAAGTCACTTGCCTCTACGACATCATTGAATACCTCATCCATATTTTTTTTATATTACGCTGTACTTCTCTCTCTTTTTTTTTGTTAGTTTTAGCCATTAAAATATTACGACAACATAAATGAAGGAAAATCATATGGTTTTAAAAAACATAAAATCTATTTACCTGAGGAACAGCTTTTGCCGGAAAACCCAAGGCGGCATAGACATGTCCTTTGAGGCGCATGACCATCACAAAGACCACCATTGCAGCAGGACTGTTTTATACACGATCCCTTAACTATCGACAAAAAAATAATGTTATGTTATGTTATCTATCTTACCCTCATTTTCAAAATATATGCAAAAACTAATTATTATTGAGTTTATGTTTCATTTTGGCAATTCCGATATGTATTCTTTGAAGTAAAAAGGGAGACAGACAAAGTCAATTTTTCTACATAATGGTAAATATGACTTCAAAAAGTCGTATATATGCCAAGAGAAATAAAAAAAATATTTGCACATTTGGAACGAATTCCGTAGTGATGTTGTCCTACCATATATACATTTTTTCGTTCTATTCTAGTCATAAACAGGAAAAAAATATATTTTCTTTTATTAAAAACACTTCCTGTTCCAGGCATCACACAAGCGTTAATACAGAATTCATGGGTTAACACAACTCAAGTTATCGTCGTTTATTACATTGCAGGAGGACTTGATCTAGATTTGTTGATTTTGATCATGGCTTTAAATCAAATATATGAGAGTATTTCACAGTTGTTGTTTTTTTTTTTTGTATATCCCTATTTTTTATGTATTAATTAAAAATAATTCGAGCTCTTTGTCGCAACACATTTGATAGAAAAATTATAAATTTGGTCTTGATCTGTAATGACGTTTCTTAAAATATAAGATGTGTTAGTTTGTCCCCTATATTTGAAATGAATAGGAACGATTCTATTGACAAACATTTAGTATATATCACCTTAAACAAATGAGATGGGATGGAAGAGGGAAACAAATGCTTAGAGATTAAAAAAAATCCTGTTTTTTGTTGTACTAAAATCAATATTTTTTCTGAATTGATATCATTTAGAAATTTTTACATTTGGAGAAAATTTTTAAAGAATATTAAAATATAAAGTTGCATCATCTGAAAATAAAAAAAAAGTTCTCAGAAAAACATTGATATATTTACCACTCAAAGATGAAGAGAATTGAACTGTGTAGCATCTTTTGTTCGAAGGCGAACTGCTATTCCTGTTTATCGATTAAAATAAATTACTTTTACAATCAATAATACTCATGAATCATAATAACAAAATACAAAAATCAGTCACAAAATCATCTTAAGCTATCTGTAATTCGGTATTTATCTAAGTACATGTATATTAGATTTATTTAGTTCATTGATGGAAAGAAAAAAGTGCATTTTCATACATGTACCTTATCAAAGTAAAATCCTTAATAAAAGAAAAAATTTATACCCTTTCAAAGTAAAGCAGACATTGATACTCGCTGGTTTCTCCTTTCTTAATACGACATCATATGTGCAAGGGGACCTTGATTGATTTATAGGAGGAATGATGAAGACGCCATTATCAAAATTCTTGTCAGATTTCAAATCTGGGCTGAAATATTGCAATAATCATATTGAAAATGTTTGAAAAAAAATGGCAGAAAACTCTTATCTTGTATTGTAAAGATAAAAATGCAATTAATTATGTACCAATCTCTTTCCGATGCAGCTGACAGTTTTAAATGACAATGTTTTCCAATTAGGCACTGTAATGTACTGTTATTTTCATAGGTGGGTTTTAAAAAATGAGGGGAAACCTAAAATTATCAACAATAAATAAATTAGAAAAAACATTGCGTTAATCATTCTTATTATACTGATATCAAATAAAAATTTATGAAATAGGCAAAGTATTTCTTGTTAAGTTGTCTTAATGTCATTGGATGAGTCCAGGGTCTAAAATTTGCTTTTACTTAAAAAGCTCTTTTAAGGATATCTTAGTAGATAGACGAAGAAATGAACACAAAGAAAAAAAACTCAAAATAGACCGCACTTCCAATTCACTCACCTTGGAGTCATTATAATGACCTAAAATAGATAAAAAACAAATAATGTCATACATTTTGTTAGCTTAACCAAATCAAATCAATGAGAACTTTTGTCAGAGATTTGTGCTTCGTATTTGTGTTTGTTTTGTTGTGTGGTAAATGGTTCAAACTTGATAAGAGAGTGAACAATTATATACAGTTACATATATAAAAAAAAAGCAAATTTTTATCTCGACGATCTTCATTCTCACTTTGAAAAAAAGAATATTTTAAAGTACCTGCATATATAGAACATTGGATATATGGTAAAAAAATGATACATATGTTTTTGAAAAAAAGATATATATATATATATACTAGATAATATTTTAATAGTTCAGTAAGAACCTTTTAACTCACCATTGAGTACTTTAACTTCAAAGCATATTTCATCCTCGGTTTTAACATTCCTACAATTTATAATAAGTATCATTATTGAAATGACAGTTTGTATGTCGAGACGTTTCATATTTTCAATTTATTGTCACTGCTTAACTTATTCAGTTGCAAATCAACAGACACTTTAACATCATAACTGCCAAACTATTGGTATTCATATCACAAACTGAAATTGCCATCAAGATCAACTTCTTGACGGACTCCTTGAAAATATATAGTATCTGTAATATCCTCCATATCATAATAGAAAAAATTACCCAGCTTTCCCTACAGAAGCTAGACAAACATTTGCAAGTCCCAAGGATGAACCGATGATATCAACATTCCCGTGGATAATTCTGCCAGATAATTCTGTGCTGTTTAAGTCTATTCTTCTTATTTTTATTGCATTAGTTATGAATCCAGGGACAATGGAAGGCCTACAAATTAAAATAAATGAACGATACTTCAAGTATAGTATCAAAGAAGCAATCAACTGTCTTGGTAAATATGTATCCTAACGATATCTTAACGAACTTTTACAATATGTTTAATACTATTCTAAATAGACACGCTAAAGTAAAGACTAAACGTGTGAAAACTGAGTCTCGTCCAAAATGGTTAACACAAGAAATTAATGAAGCTAGACAATTACGAGATTACTATCATCAACACAAAGACTTTGAAAATTTTCGACATTGGAGGAATAAAGTTACGCTTTTGATTAATAATGCAAAATGTACTTATTATAAATCAGCAATTGAGGAGAGCTCTAATCCTAAAGAACTCTGGAGCTATCTGAACCATTTATCCTCAAAGCCAAAATATTTTTTTCCTACTCATATTAAAGACAACGGATCAGAAATTAACGATACACAAGGTATTGTCAATGTTTTTAATGAACACTTTACAAAAATTTCTAGCAATTTATTAACTGAATTACCAAAACGTAACTTTAAACTAGAAAAGTTAAAAGAATTCACAAAATCAAAACTTTGTGATGAAAATGTATTTAGCTTACTTCCTATAAGACAAGACGAGATCTTCTCAATGCTATGCACACTTGACATTAATAAATCGGCAGGTATAGATTTCATTGGTCCCCGCCTCTTAAGACTTTCTGCCGATATAATCTCTAAGCCTATAACTCATCTAATTAATACTAGCATTACTAATGGCATCTTTCCTTTGCATCTGAAACAAGCTAAAGTCACACTTATATATAAATGATCCAAGTAATTACAGACCAATATCAATCTTACCGACTTTATCAAAAATTTTTGAAAAACATGTTGCTAATCAAGTACGTGAATTCACCAGAGCTTTTGACCTCATTACAAACTCACAGAGTGGTTTTAGGGAATTCCATTCTTGCCAAACAGCACTAACCAAACTTACTAACAGTTGGTTGCATGCAATGGACCAAGGGAATCTCACTGGCATAGCATTTCTAGATTTCAGTAAAGCATTTGATTTAGTCAGCCATGATCTCTTAATTGAGAAATTGAGGCACTATAACTTTGATTCACTTACAATTAAATGGTTTCAGTCTTATTTAAATGAAAGAACCCAAAGTGTTAAAATCGGAGCATGTTCTTCTGATATCTTACCTATCACAGCAGGGGTGCCCCAGGGATCTATTTTAGGTCCACTGCTATTTTTATTATATATAAATGACCTTCCCTTATGTGTCATTCACTGTAATATTGATATGTTTGCAGATGATGCAACTCTGCATTTATCTGATAACAATGTACATGATATTGAAACATTTTTGAATTATGATTTATGCGAAATTGAAAACTGGTGTTTACAGAATCAAATGATTCTGAATACGAACAAATCAAAATCTATGTTTATGTGTACACAACAAAAGAGGTCAAAGTTAGATATTCCAGAACTTCATACAGAAATTTCTGGAGAAAAGCTTGAAAATGTTAATGTTGAAAAACTCTTAGGTGTCCATATAGATCAAAATCTTCATTATACTTATCATGTAGATTCAGTTTGTAAATCCTTAACATACAAGTTATTTACACTCCGTAAAATTAAGAAATTTCTTCCATTAAATACCAGAAAACTTTATTATAATGCATATATTTTGCCTTCAATAAACTATTGTCTTACAGTTTGGGGCAATGCATCTAAAACTAGCATCGAAAGAATTCATAAACTTCAGAAATTAAACGGGCTGCTAGAATTATTCTTGATTCAGCACCCGACGAACCATCAAAACCATTGTTTGAAAAACTGGGATGGCTAAATGTGTTTGAATTAGTCACACTACATAAGTGTATTTTATTGTACAAAACTTTTTATGGTATGAGCCCTGAATATCTCCAGGACCTTTTTGTTTTTCATAGCCATGATTCCTATTCCTTACGTTCAGAATTAAATAATAATCTTCGTTTACCAAGACATCGAACAATTTTATTTACAAATTCTATTCAATATTCAGGTGTAAATTTATGGAATAACCTACCATTACATGTAAAATTATCACCAACCTTACCTATTTTTTGAAGAAATGTAGAAAAAATTATAATTAGCCAACGTCTGTAAATAAATGTTTGAATATGTCCTTTGTACAAGATGTTTGATTATTACTATTGTTTAAGACAATGTCTCCTGAACAATTAATATTGACTTCTTTATTTTGAATCTATATCTCATTTAGCTGTACATTACATTTAATTATTCATGCATTAACGAACTCTACATGTTTTATCTTTGATTGTATCATTTTATTTAATATGTTGTTTGAAATCAGAAGGCCCCGGGGAAGAATAGTACCTTGTACTAATCGACTAACCTTCTCTAAATAAAGCATTATCATTATTATTATTATTATTAATATTATTATTATTATTATTATGTGTACAGCAGAGCAAAAAATATTATTATAAACTTTATACGTGCTAAAAAATACAAGTATTAGTATTTCATGCTCAAATTACAAATATCTTCCGTACTTGACATCTAGCAAAGCTATTTAAAATCATATTGGTGAGTTCAATTTATAAAAATTGCAAGATGTATTACGAGGGTTGATCAAAAAGTAATGTCACAACTTCGATAAAATCGCTATCCGTCGACGTAAAACAACAAAATTATAAATGATGAAAGCAACATTTATTTCAAATCAGACCTGAAATTTCAATTCAACATGATTTATACTTTTTAAAATATCGGATTATATATAACGTGCGATTTGGGTAGTCGCCGCAGCTAAATAACGTCATATGACGGATACGCGCCGTCATAGATTTAAACGCTTCCCTTCGTTTCATGAAAAAATATTTGAGATTTGATATCCACGAACACGTTCACAAAATTTCACTTTCTTACCCTTAGTACCCATCGTACACTCACTCTTTTTAAAATTAATTCTGTCAAAATTCATTGAACAGTTACAGTTTGTTTTGGCTTTTTTGTCCATTTTGACATTTCCTTTTTTCAATGCACCGGAATAAATCAACGATGTTTTTCATAAAAAATAGCGGTGATGTCATATAATTTTTAATTTAAGACTAGAAAATGATGCAAATTTTTGTCTTTTAAAGTATTTTGCGTTTAGGCGCTTTTAAAAAATGCTTTGTAAGTGTTTGTCTTTTTTATACTAAAAAAAGTACACTTTAATTTGTGACGTTCGGTGTTGACGCGGCGACACCCCCAATCTTATATGTTTTAAAAATCTATAAAATAAATTCAGTTAAACATTATTGAATGAAAAATTAAAGTTTAATTAGATTTATATTTGTGCATCTTTTGGTATATAATATTTGATAATATGACGCCAAATATAAAAGATATGGACACTGTGAGATTACTTTTGGATTAACCCTCGTATGTTCTTGAGTAAATTAAATTTTTTATTGGTCTTTTATAGATGTTCGAAATAACAGTATAGTTTCAAAAAAGCTTAAAATAAAACTTTTGAATATATGAAATATATTACACCCTTTAAAGCTTTTGCTTGATTACACTGACTAAATTATATCGAAAGAGTGATAAGTAGTATTAAGTATTTTTCTTTTTTATGCATGCTTGTTAAAAAAATAATTTAATAAGCAATTGTTAAGCTTCATGTTTCATGTTATTTACTTACATATGATGAGTATTACGGATGACCGTGAAAGGAATATGGCAGGGTAGTGAGAGAAAACAGATGACTGTCTTTGGAAGCGCGCTATCCGTGAATCTGGTCTGTTTAATAGAGTGACATAGTGGTCGGATAAATCTTTCTATAAAGTAATAAATTGTATGATGCTGAATTTTATTTAGCGCCAGATGGATGCATATTAGATTCATTCGTAAATCCCTAAATTAAGAAATGAATTTCATTTTTGAAGCTTCATGTGGTACATGAACTACAACGCTTCACGCCGGGATATTTATCATGAAGCGATTACGCACTTTTTATCATGAAGCGCTAAAGCACTGCAAGAAATACGCCGGTGTAAAGACGAATAATGACCCCCATCGAATAATGACCGGGGGTCATTTTTCGACAGCGAAAAATGACCCCTGGTCAATATTCTACGGCGAAAAATGACCCCCGGTCATTTTTCGACGTCGAAAAATGACCCTTTTGCCCGTAGAAAAAGTGTCACCATACTAAAAATTTGCAGAACCTACGTGAAGAAAAATGACCCCGTAGAAAAATGACTCCCTGTGAATTAAAGCTGAAATTTTTAGGGTGGCAAAAAAAGAAAATGAGATAAAGAAGCATATTAGCCAAAATGCTCACCTGAGCTAATTAGAAATATTCAGAATCTAAAGGAGTAAAAGATTTATCGAATGGTTATGTAAACATTGCTTTTCGATGGTGGAAATCATCGTACTGACAGAAAAAAATCAGCAGTATTATATATTATTTTATCCTCCGCTTGAAAAGCGGGAGGGTATATAGTGATCGGGATGTCCGTCCGTCCGTCTGTTACGCTTTGGGGTATCCATCTCTTATCCGCAACTCCACTTATATATATAAAAAGATGTGTTTGTGAAACAGCTATGCCCCTGTATGGCATCATAACGAAGCTTAAACTTTTCTTAAATGCAATTTAATTTAATATTGGTACCCAAAGTAGGGTCTTCTCACAAGAAATACAATTGCAAAATAGGAAAGCCCTAGCACCACTTTTTCAAAAGTAATGGTAACGGGTAAGTTTTTGAAAGGTAGGTCAAACTCAAAGATCAAAGGATCAAAGTTGATGGTTTCTTAAGAAAGGTTTAATGCACCAAGGATAACATATGTGAAGTATGAAAACCCTAGATCTTATCGTTCAAAAGTTAAGGCCAAGGTTAAAGTTTTTTTTCATAAGTTCAGAAATCTCCAAGGTTAAAAGGTTAAAATATGGTACCCAAAGTAAGGTCGTGTCACAAGGAATACACATATTAAATATGAAAGTCATAGCTCCAATAAATGAAAAGTTATGGTCAAGGTTAAAGTTTTTGTGGACAAATAGACCGCCAGATAGACATACAGACGGACACTATAAAACTATATACCCCCGAATCTTCGATTACGGGGACATAAAAAGAAATGGTCTTCAATTAACTTTTCATATCATGAAACAGTATAAACAAGACGTTACAAAAATGAAAATGTTTGTTCTGATTTTCATATTATATACTCTGAAAAATATTCTCAGAACTGGAGTAAAACAAGAATTAAGAAATGTAATGAATACTGTGTGCTAAATCAAATAGTAATGTCTACATGTATAGTTTTTCATTAGAATGTGTATTTTAAACTAGCACATAGCTTTACAGAGCATATTTTTAGGTGTTATACCCATCCCACCCCCTTACTTATTTCGGAGGAAGTCAATTATCAACAAAAGCACGAAAAAAAACTACCTTACCTTTATTTTTCTATAAGGAGGGACTAAAAATTAGCTTAAAATAATCTACTATAATTCTACTAATTTTTAGCTGTTACTTTGCCACAATACTTTCAAGTATACTCCAACCAACATTTAAAGTATGCTTTAATCATGGCGAAGTAAATTATGATATGATAGTACTTGTGTGAAGGCTTAACTTCATTTCAATATTTTATCTAGAGCCTCTTTCAGTATTATTGAAAGATATAGAGTTTTATCTATATTTTTGCTTTTCATTTATTTATTTATTATTTTATTTTTTTATTTCTTTTGATTTAATATAATGTTGTTTTTTGGGGAGGGGGAGGATAAAAATTTCATCCTCTTTCATTGTCAAATAGGATTAATCCTAAAAAATTACTTCTTTGTACGCACCGATATTATTTCGTCTGCTACAAATTTCTACTTTTTCCCAACAAATAATTTTTTTCTGAAACTACGTTTCAACGGAGTCAGTAAAGAAAAAAAAATTATTTCATAAATTTCATCTCCAGCGTGCGTTTGATCCATTTACATGTAGCATCTTTGATTTTCTAGGTTTGCTCCTTTATCACAGAAATGAAGATTAATTGATTGATTGTTAATTGCTTAAAAATAATTTGTCAATATTTCGGCAGAGAGAAATGGGGAACTTTCACTACTGGCCTTTAAAACCCCTGTCCGTATGAATATCCCCTGTCTTTCTCTGTATCCTACAGCATGTTCACAGTAATCAACGGTATATCTACAGTATGGTACGATATGCCAGCAATAGCAATATCGGCCACTGTATGTATCCCCAGCATGCCACAGTTACATACAGTAGGCCCCGATACGCCTACAATATGCCACTGTATAGCTACTGTTTCCTACAGACACCTGCGGTAAATCCCCAGTATATGCCCCAGTACGTCCCTGTATATGTTCATTGAAGCAAAAAGATTGATTGATTGATTGTATACTGTTTAATGTCCCACTCGAGAATTTTTCATTCATATGGAGACGCCACCATTTGCCGGTGGAGAGCTGCAAATTTTGTCCTTAACTCGTCACTCAGGGCCATTAAGTAGGGAGGGATCTTTTTCGTGTCAGCACCTACTGCGACACGGGATCTCGGATTATACGGTCTCTTCCGAAGGACCGGTCTCCACGTCCCGCACTGGGATTCGAACCCGCGACGTAAGATTTGACAACTTACTTCTTCTTGACTCTAGAGCAGACGCTCTAACCACTGCGCCACGCGGGCGACGAAGCAAAAGGAAGAAGTATACACACTCCCAGAGCACTGTATGGTTACCTAAGATGTGGGATTATCAATTAATTACACCGAGTTATTTACCTGTGAAATTTTTAACAAGATTTGAAACACATGGTAGTAATTTTTTTATTTGTGACAAGACTTATTGAGTTCTGTCATAACTCTGAAATATAACTGAAAAATTAATAAATCATTGCTTCAGAAAGTATTTATCTATCTATTTTTTTTTTTATAAATTATTGCATTATTTTTTTTTGCTAACACCTGTTTAATCCATGAAATACTTGGAGTGACTTTGTATTTTTAAAATAAATTGGTTTTAAAAGCCGGAAGTGTTTATTACCCTACGTGCTAAGAAGATCAAAGATCAAATTTATTCGAACAAATGCATAATTTACTCGAAGGAAGAACAATTATAATATGCAGCATATTTTCCCCTTTCACCTGTTATAAATTTTGTATCACTTTAAAGGGGGTCATTTTTCAATGGGGGTCAATTTTTTAAAGGACTAACATATAAAATAATGACCCCTAGGACTCTTTTTCTACAAAAAAATGATTATTTTCTACGTGTGGTGGTCATTTTTTGTCGTTTAAAAATGACCCCCGGTCATTATTCGATGGGGGTCATTATTCGTCTTCACACCGGCGTGTAGCGTCGTAGTTTATGTCCTCATCAATCTTAAGAAATGAAATTCCTTTCTTATATTTACATTTTTTTCTGATGATTTTCTATAAATTATGCCATTTAACTGTATTTTTAAAGCAAAACAGTTGGCACTAAAGTTTTGACGCCAAGCATGGTATTATGACGTAACAATGGAAATATTCATGCTCATCCATTGTAGTTCATGAAAAAAATGAACAAAATTCCAATTTGTAAGGAATCTTGAAGACAAAAACATAAAAATGTAAATATTATCAAATGAATTCAATGTACTCAATTGTTCACACTCACTTTCACTGGACATTGTCAGTTATATTTCATTGATGAAGTATAAATATTTGCTCGGTTGCTATGATAGTATCGTATTAAAAACTTACCCCTATGTAAAATGGGCTCGTAAGGTTCCCGCCTGTTACTGGAATTTACAAAAGATGTTTTCCCTCAATGTTTTTTTCTCTAAGACAGTCCTTAAAGTTTGATATGCAAAACCTTTATACTTAAAGGAATAGTCACTTTCTTATTTCCTATTTATTTAATATCTTTTTGTTTCTTTATTCATCAGAATTGTATTGAACAAGCAAAAGAAGTTAAATGTTTTAACAAAAAGGAATATATCTTTTATTGAGAATTATCCTAGAATATTATATCAAGGTTAGTGGACGTATCTATGAAAAGAAAAACTGATTGTATAAATAGTCAATAGAGCATGAGAAATAATGTTGAAATATACCATCAGAACAGTTTGGTCCTTGAAATCCAAGACGACAGATGCACGTCACCGTCTGCAGTTTACTGGAATAGCATGCTGCGTCATTTCTACATTTGTTGGAACTTTTACACATCTCTAAAGTTTTTAAACTTTTATGTAAAACAGCGATTTCATTGGAGAGCAATATTTTTTTAGTGTTAAAAAATAAATATTGTAAATAAAATAATCATAAACCAACATTGTTCTTGTTTTAAATAAAAAATTCCTAATGACTTTGTTTCGATAATCAATTAAAAAATTAAAACTGCCATACCTGTTGTATTTGTGGTGGTGGTGTTTAAGGTAGGATGATGCAGTGGTAAAACTGTTTAATAAGTATACTCGTATAAGTATCAAAAAATATTAAACGAAAACAAAAAATCATATGTTAAGCTTTATTCTTGTATAAGTATATATGCAATCGAAGACGTTCGGACTAATTTGACGAATTTATCAAAATTGAGGTCTTACATGTAATTGGCTTCCTAAAATGGAGATAGGGATATAGTGGTTACATATAGAAGGCTACTGTTTAATAGACTTTTATAATTGAGAAAAGAGTACGTTATATTCTATTATGGTCAGGAACAATGAGGTATTTCTATATACTGTGTAATTGTAAATAGATGTTTTAAAGAGAAAGAGAGAGGGGGGAGTGTCCATGAGTTAATAAATGCAAACATAAGCTTTTTGATAGCCCATTATTTATTCCAATTAAACTGTAATCCTTACAGCTCGATCTGAACTCTTTAAAAAAGTATATTAATAAAAATTCTTCATGGCTCCATAATACTGAGCGAAAGGATTTGGAGAATAAAATGGAACTTTATCCTTCTAACATTTCCTGATGTATTTTTATTTGATTTTTTTTCTAAATCAGGAAACGGAAGTTTCCTGTCAAAATAAGAATAGAATGATAATAAGAGGTACATGGAATACAGAGTTTCCGACAGGAAGAATAAAAGTATCGTTTTTTTATTGTCCCACCATAGATAAGCGAAAAAAGTAAAGGAAAAATATCAAACATTTAACACTGCAAGTAAAATATATATTTATTAAAAACAAAGATTTGAATATATATTTTATTTTACATTAAAGAATTTATATGCAGGCAGCTTAAGGTGGCTCTCTACAAAGTCACATGACTTGCGTTAGAAAAGCCATTTTGACTTCCATTCGAAACGCCATTTTGCTCCGAAATGTTCTGATTCTGTCATTTACAAATTCACTTACGACCGATAAAACAACGGGTATAACACAGCATGCGACCTTGTTGACAGAGTGCACATGTACATCACCTCGAGGCGGCAAGAGTGGCAAATATCTCCTTTCTGCACACATATACTGTTTTTCATTTTATTCACTCTCAACATATTTAATACAAAAATTATAATTTCAACCTTATCAAAATGATTTTAAGTAATAATAAATAATAAATTATTTAAAAACCCCAGTCCTGTCCCGATGTTATTTAATTATTATGTTTCAAATCTCTATAAACTCCGATAGTAATGTTGTTATCAAAAAACAAACTGTAAACCAACTTTTATTCGCGTGCGAGAAATTTTTGCGAACTGGTCCTAAAAGTGTCTGTGTCTATCTAAAAAAAGACCCAAAAAGGTTTGATCAAGAAAATTAATCGTTGCGAGCTAGATAATCCCTGATAAATTGTGAAATAAAGTCATCGCGAATAACAGTTGGTTTACAGTACATGCCTTTCAGTGAAATCCCCCCCCCTAAAAAAATGAAATTAAATATTTATACGACATTACCAAAATCTCTTCGAGAAAATGTTGATTTTTTTCTACTTATAACTTAAACGTTTGATTATCATTTATTGTCAGCTGTTTGTATGAAAAACTTGCAGATATAACGTGAAGTGGGGATTTCGTTATAAGAATTTCTTCTACCCGCTTTTGAAAATTTATATGTCATACATCTCTAGCACAAGTTAACTCAAATTTGATAAAAACCGTAAGTAAATCTACCTTTCTCAATACTGTGAATCACTAAATACAAGTCTTTGTCTTTGACTGGAATCGTGATGGTTTGCAATTGAGTTCATTTGAAAAACAATACAATACTAACTTCTTCCGATATATTTGTTTGACATATTTTTTTTCAATACTTTCCAAGTTTTGGAAGAAATTGGATGAAGTATGAAACAATAGGAGATAACGAACAGTATTCAAGATGAAAAACCATTAAACAATACAAAACAGGAGCATGATTGGGAAATAACGGAAAAACGTCATTTGTTCAGTATGAGTATGCATAATGGACTAACAATAAGTTTGAAAAACGTCAGCCGGCATTTGACTCAATGATAAATTGTATTCGCTGGTAAGGTCATTTTATCGACCATAGAACTTACGAAATGATGACTTAACGAGACTGCTGATATTCTTGTTTCATCAACTTGTTTCTCAATAATTTACCTCGTTTTAGAAATTGTTTGTACGTAGGTCATCCTCATGCGTATCGAATCAACTGAGATGTTAAAACAGATGTGTCAAACTCTGTGGAATCTTTTATCTCAAGCTCCCCAGGATATATCGTATGGTACATAGGTATGAAAATGACAATTGTTAATTGACAGTACGTCTTCGATATATCTAAATGTCGAGTTGAAGGCCTCAGGGAGTGTTTTCTTCTTTTCATTCATAAGATTTTGCATAAATTCTACTTCATATGAATACAAAATTTGGTCTGCTAATTAATAACTGAGCCCAATTAGAACCCAGGGGGATTCCCATAGATTGTTTTGAGATCTGGTCTCCAAAATCCACATAGATATTGTCAATCAGAAACTTTGAAATTTTTTATGTCAACCGCAGCGTACATGTGTTTGCAATAAGAATGTGTTCTAACGAAATAATTTTGCAAATGACCAATATAGAAAAACAGTGGAGAAGATACATTCAATTGTTCTTATGAAAATGCTGCTTTTGATTTTCTTTTGTCTATTTCTAAAGATTTTGAAAAAGATTAAGTAGTTTTTTTTCATAACTTTGTTGGTTTTTATTTCAATATTTCATGAATAAAAATTTAAAGCAAGAGGTTTTTAAAAATAGAGAATAAAAGTAAGGTGTAAAGATCCTTCTAAAACTTTTTTGTGCAAATTCTGATGCAAAACCAAGCTTAAGTTTTTTTAGTAGTATTTATAAGAGACTATTTGTTTGCTATAAAATGAATGACGATACGAGGGTTGTCCGTAAATTTCGTGGACAAGCTAAGAATTAAATAAAAGTTGTGTCATTGATATTTATTATTAGCATATTTCTAATCCTTTACTAAATGTAAATTAAAAAATGTAAAATTTTATTCAATTTCAAATGTTTAATCAGAATTTTGGCTTCATAATTACACTTGGAATGAAGACCCGGAACACCGCAAATTTTTGATTATAAAAAATATTTATCACTTTATAAATTTCATTTGTATTTTATGAAATTCTGCGGAAATCTGGCTGAAATTCACATTATGACATTGACAGAAGTTCTCACATCAAACCTGCAAAATTTGAACGTTCAAAATTGTGAAATGGCCAAGGAATCAAAGTTAGAACTTATTAAGACGGATCGGAATTGTTCCAAAAAGGGACGTTTCCAGAATAGGTGGAGCATAGAGCAGTGATAAAATTCTGCGTAGACATCGTATAAACACACACAGAGACCAATACATTTCGTAAACAATCGGGAAAACATAGTAAAAGAAGTCGTACATTAGTATTTAAAAGGCATATTATATTTTCGGACGGACGGTACACTTTACAGGATGACATGCATGAAGGAAAACCATCATTCCGAGATTGCAGTGCTGTTAAAAATGAATTTCGTAACGTGACTTTACCCCTATGTCCGTAAATAAGATCGTCTTTATGCGGACAGATGTTGGGTGATTGCAGGATATGAGACAGGCATCGTAAAATATTATTTAACACATGAAACCTGAACACATTATGCTCATATTTATGACTTGTTAAAGCGACATAAGAAATGTATTGAGTTAAAGTTACATGTACTCGTATTATGCTTTTGACGTCGGGTAACGTCAAGAATTTTCATTTTAGTGCTCCGGGTATGAGTGTGTGTCTTTTTTCAATCTGATGAAAATATAAATATTTGTGCTTTGTTTCTGTTGAAAACTTGCATGTTAATAAAATGAGACATGAATTTAATGAAAATAATTGTTTCATATATTTTATTAATGATTGTAGGAGTAACTATCAATATTGTCCACGAACTTTACGGACAACCCTCGTACATGTAACTTGTAGCATCGTACACTGTATGTTAACAGTTAAGTATTGAGTTGTTTTCATGAATGACATATAAGAGTGCATGAAAAATGACAAAAGCAACACGATATTCCACAAAAATATACTATAATTTATATAAATAGAAAAATGAAACAAGCATTTGTGAAAAGGGAAAATTAAGTTCAGTTCTGTGCCAAATATTAATATAATAATCTTACCAATTTGACATATATCTCCTTTCCTATTATCTGTACAAGTACAAAAGAAAAAGGGATGGAATGGCACTCTTGTACACTGTCCGTTAAAAAGACAAGGGTTCGGATCACAAAAATTCCTCTCTATCAAAAGATAAAAACAGAACATATATGTAGAGAGTAAAATTAGTATAGTATCCAACGGGTATGAGAAGACGTCGTAAAAGATAAAACTGTCCCTTCTTATAGATAAATAGAAAGTCATCAACAATTTGATAAGAAAGACACATGTAAAGGAATAATTTCAAACACCTAATACCATTATTTCTGATAAAAGCATTACTTAATTTTTTTTTATTGAATAAATTAATGCAGGTAGCCTTTTGGTTTCTTTTTTTTCTTCAAATTTATTATTCAATACTTTTTTACACGAATCCACTGCAAAGACATGCTTACTCTTGTCACATTGTAACCCAGTAAAGTCTTCTGTACATGAACACGTATACTTCGTATTGTTATCGAATGAATAACATTGTCCCGCATTTTGACAAGGATTTGAAGCACAGGGATCTAAAACGAAAATTGATGATGTTTAGTTTATCATCAGAATACGACAAATGTAGACAAAATATATGGATTTCTAGATGTATAAAAGCTAGCAATTACCTGGCAGTTCTACTGTAACAATGAGACACCTCTCGACGTAAGCCATGCTTATTAAAAAGAAAAAAATAAGCATATAAATATACCTCATTGACTGTCAAACCATTTACTGGTGTGTTTCAACATAGCCATCAATTGTAAATTCGAGAAATCGATAATTTATTTTTTCAGATAAATATTGGATATCTGATGGATATTTAA